ACAAAGAGAAGCAGCCACAGACAAGGGTTGTCGTGAAGTAGTTTGACATTTCCACCTTCAATTCAATTCAATGATTCCTTATTTACCGTTGCAAGGCTCAGGCCATAAGGGCTGCTCGTCCGCCTGACCTCGCACATTCCGAGACGCTCCTTTCACCCTCTGCCTGAGAAAGGGGGTATCCCTCGGGCGATTTGAAATTTGCTCAGAGGCTTCATTTAGGCCTCTTTTACATGCAATAAATCTCTATCATGGGACAGTCGGCTTTACTTTATCGTCTTCACGGCGTTTGTCACGAGCACGATGCAACGACCAATGTTTTCGCATACGATCCAGCATTCACAGTGGCCCAGATGGCACCATTCATAAAAGCGCAGATGTCTCTATTACCAAAAGATGGACTTCTGTTCACAGAATGTTTGTAAACTTGTGCCAATATGGGAGAAGTGTTTTTCGAAACTTGATTATGTTGAAAAATAGCGTCGAGATGTTTCGTAATTTTGTATATATTCTTGATGTGTTTCCAATTATACTTTCTTCTAATTCAGTTATGCGTTTGCAATCGAACCGCTCTGATATCTTCATTTAGGATTCCCAGAAATTCCGATCTGTATGTGAGTTTGAAAGCGTAAATGCACCACCGCATCGCTGACCTCCAATAACCTCCAAATACCGCGTCCGACAAAATTGTTTCCGCAGAACCACTTCACTCCAAAGTACACGCATCGCCGGCAGCTGTAGGAGGTCAAACTTAATGAGCCGCGCGAAAATCACCTCTGCCGTTAGCGTTAACACGCGACCAGCACATTCCGAAAAAGACGTTTCACTACTTTTCAGCTGTCCCTCGCAGGGCTATGGTGCCAGAAGATGTGGTGCTACTCACAGAATATATATTACACGACCTATTCTTGAGTTTTTATTGCAGTATATTTTGTACACACTACTTCGTAAAGAAAAACGACATCTTTTTATTTATACCTATTTATTAAAACTATGTTACAGTAAAAACCAAAAGCATTAAAAAATATAATGGACTTTTTAATATGATTCTTTGTCGTTTTGTAAGGGTATGACGTTTCTAGTAACATAATATAATTTCGGATGGGAAAATTCTAATAATGTAAATTGGGTGTTTAATATTCATTCCCGGTGATACAAGATAATAAATTCAATATGCGAGAATAAGAAATATTACATAAGATAAATATTAATTATTGTTTAAAATTTAAAGCATTGAGAGAAATTTACGGGTGTCGAAAAATCATGATAGCATTTTAAATAAAAATGTTGAATCTGTGAAACATTCAATTTAATGTATGCGTATAAGTAATTCTTAATAAGTGTGCATTACGTACTCGCACACGTAATGATTCACAATGTAGATCTTATTAAGAACTTTAATGACACTTCAAAAAAATTAGGTTTGGCAATAGTTTGAAAAAATATTGTCTATATCTATTTGATTAACGAATCTTAGAATTCAATCTAAAAATCTTATAACGTTCTTAGAAAACAATAAGAACAGAAAAAAACCATATATAATGCATAGTTTAACGTTTCGGCATTTCTTAAATAATCGAAAACTATGAACTGCTGTTGCAAAGAAGACAGCACCTCAGAGCTTCATTCGCATCTTCAGGCAGCCCACCGCGCATTCGACAGAAGCGAGCGCGGAGTTGCTTCGCGCCTGCCTGTCACGCGCAGGCGCGCTTCCTCCTTGCTTCCACGCCCGTCATAAGGATGCATCCTTCAAGTTTTCGCACTCGCCTGAGCTTTTTGCCGATCCGTGACCCGCTCTGAACAATGGGAATAACCTTTCTTCTCGCTACAGTTTCCGTCCTCGTCGCAGAACGGGACTCCGCCGAAGGAAGTGTGTGGGAACGAGGGAACCGCGCGGGGAGGCCGGGCGCCGAGACAATTGAAGGCGGAAAGGCGGTGGAGGGGTGGGGTGGATTGAGGGAAGGAGTTGGACATTACGCTGGGAAGGCAATATCCCGCAAAGTCACACTGCTGGAAAATCGCGGCAAGAGAAACCTAAGGGGGGCAGTGCATTTTTAGAGACTTTGAGGAAGTGCGTTTTCAGCGAATTTAGGGAATCGCAAATCAATACAAAAAATAAAGTCACACACCAAGATTATTTTATTTATTTTAAAATTATTAATGTCATCTTAGAAATGGAAAAGAAAACTTCAAAATAAGGGCATACAGTATCAGTCTCCACTTTCGACGTGCAAAAACTCAATTCGCTGATTCGATCAGTGAAGTAACTAATAAAAGGCGATGGAAGGGGCAATCCGCCACTAGCGCCACATTTTACGCGCCGGCATATCTCTGCATAAGCTGCTCTAAATAAAATACTAAAATCAATAAAAAGGAAATCGGTTAATTGTATCCCGCGGATAGAAGTCGCTCACACCCGCGTCCCAGTTAATGCGCTTTCACTTTTGTCTACCTGAGAAGGCAAAGCCATATTGAACAATGTATGGGGGTCAGAAAAAGATTAAACAATTTAGTAATTGGACTAACAAAAATAGAGGTTCTCGTACCATTCAAGAGAAAACCTCAAACACAGGTGAAGGTAGCAAACTCTTAAGAACTGTTTATCATGTATGTAATCTAACTAAAATATAGTTATTTTAATTTTGTATAAAGAAATATCATGATCCCCCTTTCCCCTCTTCTTTGGAGCAGCACACGACATAAGTGGAAATCAGTTTCAACAAATTAAGAATAATTAATACAGTTTACATTGAGTTTCCTTACTCCATCTTACTCCTACAATAAAAGAAATAAAAATTAATAATGTTAAAAAACACTTATCTCCTGAATAATTCTTCTCGTTCATGATCTTGAAATATGAAGGCCAAAGGGCGATATTAGACGCACTGATATCTCGGCGAGCTTTTTCTTGTATTCGCGATGGAAACCGAAACAGGTACAATCAGACTTAGCCTTTTGGAAGACAGGTAAAACCTTAGAAAAAGTTGACCGTGGGTTGAAATAGAAGTAGTCCAATAAAAATTATTAAATTCAATAGATGGAAGTACATGTCGATATCCTTTGTTTACCAAGGATTTGTCATTTACCAGTATTTGTAGGTGATTTTCCTTTGCCTACCCTGTGCGTAGACACTAATATATGAATTGTTTTGAATTAACGTTGACAAAACATTTTCTACGTAATATTTATTATTTCGCACTTTACAGCTGGCCTCAGAGTGCCTTAAATTATTTCTTTAACTAGAAGGGGAATGGCAAAACATTCCAAGACTGCTCTCGATCTGATTTCGCCACTGGCTAGTAGTAATGGAGTTAAAGACGTTCGACCGACCTCTCGCTTCCAGATATCGCGAGATGTCTTGCATTATTCATCGGCACGCTTGGAGCTATCCCGGCAGCTCCTCACTGACAGACTAGAGGGTGTGTAGGGCTCTTGACTCTTTCAGAAAGTCGAAACTCGCAACGCTTGTCACGTTCAAACAGAGCAAAAGGCCGAAATAAATCGAGGTTATTATTGCGCGAAAGTACACAATGTACTCTATTATTCGAGCCTCTAAGTATATTAAATTGCTTTTTAAACAAATTGTTTTGAGGAGCAACCTTGTTTCTCAGTAAAATTCCAGGTCATCTTATTCTATGATGAACATTGATCATTTTTGGATACGATAAATCAGTTCTTTTTTCGTTTTGATTTTCTTTTTCGAAAAAAATATATTAGTATGTCATGAAATTTAACTCTTCACACTTGAATTTCTGACTGATTTTTATATTTTCATATCAATATACAAAATTAAAATATTTATGCCATTGCATTTCGGTTACAACACAAAGTCCGTTGACACTTTGTTAGCTGTGACGTCATTCAATCGGGAGCTTGAACGTCACAATAGTGCTCTGAATAAAAGACTAAAGCAAGGCCGTGAGTAAGTCAATAAAAAGGGAATCGGCCAATTGTATCCCGCTATTGTCACTATCGTGATGTTCAAGCTCCCAATTGAATGACATCGACACAGCTGACAGTGTCAACGGACTTCGTGTTTTAATCCAAGTATACAGTAGTCATGCTTCATTGCTATTTCAAGAATGTAAAATTAAGAAAAAGTACTATGAGTTTCGTATTTAGTACGGCTCTTCGTAGATAAATTATTATTAACTACAATTTTACATTAGTATCCCGTTGAAATAAGCTTGATGAGTGCGTAGGTAGTTGATGTGTCAATGTAGTCGAACGGAAGGTATTCGAATTAAAATTTCTCTGCCGACTGTAGAATTATATTCATTGATGGTCTCGTATGATTGTCTTGTTTCCTTGTGTTCTCAAAATTTATTTATAAACATATATTTATCAATATTATATTTATTTTCCTTAGTCATGTTATGTACATTCGAATGTCTTGAAAATATGCGTATTTCTCCGCATTCCCTGTGTTGTATGATCTAATAAAAAATACTAATATAAATATAAATATGTCAATTGAGACATAATGTAAATTTTGAACTTCTCCGCATTCCCTGTGCTGTATGATCTAATAAAATAATACTAATATAAATACGTCAATTGAGACATAATGTAAAAATTGTGAACTTCTCGCAAACATTACAACAAATTTTTGAATTGAAATTAATGAATGTAATTCCGATACTTATTGTTGAAAACTTCTAATTTTTAATATTGTTTTAATGTTTTTTTCAGACAGTCTCTCTGTTGTTTTTTTAATTCAAATGTGTTCCTCATTTTTGTTTCGTCAGGAACTCCTTGTGAAACAAACGATTGAGACGGATTTTCTCCCCATCACAAATTTCATGTTTAAATTCGCAGTTAAAAACATCCTATTAATTAATCAATAGTCAAAGTTCTCTACAAAAAGCAGTCGAAGAGTCATCTCTCGTGACATTGACGGGAGGTTAATTCAAGCGACCGCCACTGAAGTGAAAAGACACGCTGCAGACGGCCTCGCCATCTGGTAGCGGTTGGCGAAAACAACGAAAAGCGCTGCTGCCGTGATGGCAGCAGCCAGCGCTATCTGGTTGGCGGTGGAGGAAAGAACCACTATTGTGACTATATTGATTGTGCATGCAATTGTAGGGACGAAGGGACGTGGAAACCCATTAGGAGTGGTACTGGTGGTCTAGTGCAATTTGGTCCTATTACTTCCGTCAGACAAAAATGTAATTGTCAGGTGTGGGGTTCGAACCCACGCTCCCTCTCGGGAACCAGAACTTAAGTCTGGCGCCTTAGACCGCTCGGCCAACCTGACTATACAATCGTGGGTTATTAACATAGTGAATACAAGGAACGTGTAGAGCGGTAATATGTTAATCTTGTAAATGTTCAAGCATTTCGAATTCCTGAAAGTAACTTTGCTATTATTTTAGGAATGGTCCAAATATTGTGTCATTTATTTTTATGGAGTGACTTATGAAATGTATAACAAATTCAACAGATTTAGGAAAGTACAACTTGCCTTTCCACCAACAAAACCAACTAATTGTTCAAACATGTTTTCAAAATCCGAAATTCTTGTCTGAAATGTATGAGACTTGCCTTGAGTGTCTTTGACATGAAAATATGTATTCTTTCAATTTTACAACATTGGATATCTACACACGATCTCCTACTATAGATGCTTACAGAGGCAGAATCCTAGGAATATTTCGAAAAGCATTGCAGAGAGGATAAAAGTCTCCAAATACCAACAAATTTGAAATTTCTTATTTTTTATACGTTTGTGTAGAATTTTTGTTGTTGTTTTTATAGCAATCTAAGATCGAATGAAATAATTTCCCATTCCCAGACTTTGGAAACCGCCCCACTTGAAGATATTTTTGATCTGCTGCTGCTAACGAAAACGCAGTTTCTGCCGAACTAAAAACTATTCAAGACATACAATCAGAAAGGTTTTATAATTTTTGGAATCTACTAACTTGTAACCTAATAATACACCAGTGACTGTACTGTGACGTAGAGCAGAGAGGACGGGAGCCACTTTTGCTCATGAATGAAAACACAATGATTTAATGAAAAATATACATACCTGCACTGCGAGCCTATGAGATGCGTATATTTCATGAGGCTGATCAATAACTTATTCAAGGTTCACGATGTCCTCTAATCTGTGTCCCTCGGATCGCTTGTATCTTTGACACTCAGAAGCAAACCGAACAAAGTATCTATGCCATGTACTATTTATTATTATTAAAACCTAACGACAGTTTCATCTTTAATGCGCTAATAATACGATAATGCATTTTCAATGATATTATAGTTTTAGGAATGGTAAAATTTGAAAAATTGTGTTATGAAATTTACTTCACTTCAATGAACGACTATTTTGAAGTGAGTTTATAACAATTTAGGGTGACCTATTTACGGACAAGAACTCACATTACGTTATTTCCAAGACGTACGCATAGAGTACGTTTGGATTATTATTATTATTATTATTATTATTATTATTATTATTATTATTATTATTATTATTATTAGACACATTTTTATTGGTTTTATAGTTAGAAATGTTTCGCATTTTTATTCATTGGCACTTAAGGTGTACTGTAATGATATTTTCTTTGTAATCTTGATTTCACTTGTCCATCCGGTATGATGGTTGCGAATTTGTTTTACTCGCTATTTTGCCTCTTCGAATTGCCACTGTACACTCCCTTTTTAATCATAAAATGGCATCAGTGAAAACGGAAATATATTTTTCGTTTGAAGCAATTTCGAAATATATTTTACCTTCCTCATCGCCAGCAGTGAGAAGGGTATAGCATATGCAGAGTCTGGCCTCTAAAGGGAACAGAGGCCACACTCGTAAGTAGGATGGGATTCCTCAGGGATGAACAAAGCCTGTCGGCTTCAGTAAAAAATTAAAAATCCTCACTGTTATCATCTTTATTTTTCATTTAGATTTTTAACGCAGCCTTTGCTTCCACATAAAGAGAAAACACGATCGTACCTTCGAGTTGTTCAGGTTTACGGGTATATATCCATCATTATCAAAATTGAAGTACGGAGGAAAAAAAACGAAAAAAGATATAAAAAGACGTAAAAGGCAAAAATAAGACAAAATGGCAAAAATAATGACCAGTTGATTACGGAGTAGAGATGTGGGCAATTTTAACAATTTTTAAAAAATGTCTGTTTTTATTTTTATTTCACACTTGTTTGTTTATTTGAATTTTTATGGTTTATCTTTTTTAGTATTCTAATTTTTATTTTTGTACTTTTTTGATTAACCGTCACAGACAGTACGCTCATTTGCAGTAATAAATTATTATTATTGTTTTCATTGTTGCTGACATTGCTTCTGTCGATGACCATATTCCTGCATTGTTGTAATCCGTGTCGTGTCGTGTGTTGCAGATGGCGAGCATCGAGGTGTCGCTGTCGACCACGCCGCGGCGCAAGAAGAGCGCAGGGCTGGTGGTGGGCGCGGGCGGGGGCGTGGGACCCGGCGGCGCGGGCGTGGGCGTGGGCATGGGCGTGGGCATGGGCGTGGGTGTGGGCGGCGGGCCGCTGCACCGCGCTCACAAGGACGTGCACAAGGAGCTGGAAGTGCTGCGCAACGCCCTGCGCGACAAGGAGAACATGATCCAGAGGTGAGTCCCTCCACTCATCCACACATATTTAGCAGCACGCTACTGCGATCGGTAGTTTTCCGTGGTTTCTCCGATCAATACCAGGCGAATGCCGGAGAAGCACCCTAACAAACGGGCCACGGACCGCACGCGATCTTTCCATCCTCTTCCTCACCTCTTTTTGACACACACTTGCATGCACTACACTAACACGAATGCTGGAAGACCGGTCGGAAGCTTAGGGTTTATTCCGGCTGGAGCGGTGCCCCAATGAAAGGAGATACCTGGTTAGGGAAACCGCTAGCCGACGGTAGGTCGGCACCGGAACTCACCGTCCTGCGGGAAGGGGGATCACCGTGAGCTCCCGCGAAAAACATGCACTACATGTATGAAACTAAGGAACTTAGCAGTTGACGCACCCAGAATTACTAATCAATAAATAAAAAGCTATTTATTCCACACCTACTTCTCTCTGTATTTTTCACTCTGATAAACGGCTCTGGGAACACTTAAAGAGTCGATGCGTCGCGGGGATGTTTAAGTAATTAAGTAGCAGTTAAAATAGGAACGCATAGATTGAGGAATCCTTCTAAATGGAACACCTTTGATTTCATGAAAAGTCTCCTATTTAATTAAATGTCCATAGCTCCAGGATCGATGTAGATGGAGAAACGGAGAGGTTTCGCTGAATTTATTTTAATTTCGTTTGTCTAGTCATTCAATACAATTCCATCGTTTTTCTCGCCACTTCTAAAATTGGTCGTTGTAGGACCCTTCAACACATTTTTTCGAGACACATTTAAATCATTCCTTGTTTTTACTGAAAACTGCCAACACCCAACGTTTTTCAATCTTCGACAAAGCAATATTACCTACGTTTTTCACGTAAATAGTAAAGTAATTCTTGAAACCAAACTAAGATGCAATAAGTCAAATACACTCAAATTACATTTAACATAAGTAAGGTAACCCTATACTTCATTTTGTTTTCAAGTGGTCGATGACATTAGGTCATTGTTACACCTCCGGCCTTATAAAATGAATCTTTTTAACAGTGGTGAGCACGAACCTCCTTTGAGAAGTATGTTCGCGAAGTAATTTAAAAAATTCATTTTATAAGGTAGAAGGTGTAACAATGACCTAATGTCTTCGGCCTCTCAAACATATCGAAGTATACGGCAGAGCTCCTTCGGTGTCGGGTGGTGGGAGCGGGCAACGCCGGCAGCGGCGGGAGGCTCGGCCGCGCCGCCTAATGAGGAGTAGAATGGCGAGGGGCCGGGCGCCGCCGCTGCACCCGAGACGCCGCCTCGCGGGGGGCGGGGCTGGAGACACAATGAACGGGCGGTGCCGGTGATCCGGGAGCAGGTGGCTCACACAGAGCTGCCACAGGAGACGGAAGGGAGAAGAGGGCGGGGAAGCGATCCGAGAACGTCAAAGGGCGGGGCGGTACTTTATCAATGGAGCTTTCTAGTTAAGAGGACGAAAGCGAAAGCGGAGGCGAAGGTTACGAAGTAGAACGCAGCGAAATAAAGGGATTCAACTTGAAAGTAATACCAAAGCGAGGGAGGACATTGTCGAGGGCTAAACGGGTATAAACAACACATACGGACGAAATATTCAAACGCACGAAAATGCGCTGCATTCAAGTTGCGTTAGAGTTTGCATGGGAGTTGTAGGCTGGGAGAATGCCTGGTTAGAGATGAGAATGGCAACAGGCACGAACATTGGGACATTGGAGATGGTGATGTGCTAGCCTTTGTTGATTGTGTTACTTTAATCAAAATGACGGAGCTGATCGGGGATAAATAAAAGATGTTGCAAAAAAGGTAACGACATAAAGTACTATTTCGATGAAGTTTTTCCAAGACTTATTTGATTCCAAGTTTAGAGAAAACAAATTTTTGATATAGACCACACAGGCAGCAATGTGTGTCGGAAGTGTATCTGGAAATATACAATATTAGATTCATAGATATGTAGACGGCCAATATAGCATGAAGAAATAGAAGTCGGGATCAAAATCAACATTTGTTGTAAAATCAAACATGGTAGTAGAGAAAATACCAAATGGGATGGTAAAGAAAAGGGCAAAGTAGTAAAGGAGCGGCAAGACTGGGCAGCAAGATATTTCAGGAGGCGTCATGATGAACTATTTAGGAGAGAACGGTTGAGAAGTACATAGGAGGAATGAAAGTAACTACAGTACAATGAGAGTGGAGAGAGAGGTAGCAAAGGGCGATGAGGAAGCAGGAACGATCGAGGGTGTTGGAGAGGCTGAGAAACGCCATGACAGGGCGGTAGGTGCGTCGACGGAGGGTCAGCGGGAGGCCAACGAGACAGCTCGGCTCGTCTGGTCGACAAAGGCGAGCCCATTATCGCTCCGACGCCCCTCCGCCTTCATGGCTTCGTCAGCCACCTTCCCCCCACCCTACCACGCCGAACCCACCTTCTTCCCCACCCCACCCCTCACAGTTCATCCCCGATTCTTTATGTCCACCTTTTCACACTCTGCCCCTCTCCGCCCCGTTTGCCCTGCCTCGTCCTGCATCAGCTCACACGACCCGCTCCACCCATTTCCCTCCTATACTTGTTTTTCTTTACAGTTCCTCATCTCACCACTCCAATGTGCCCTCCGCGTCCCACCACGCCTCATCCCCTCTTGCTCCACTCCACATTGCTGCTTCTTGTTCCGCCCCTTCTCACCCTGACGACCCGTCTCCCGAACCACATCACCCATTTCGCTCCTGCCCACTGGATTGTTCGTTACCCCTCTCCATCTCGTACCATCCCGCTATCTCTACCTCCGGCCCTTTCCTTCTTTCCCCACCTCCGATTCTGCCCCGCTCCGCCCAGTTCTGCCTCGACCTGCCCCACGGGCCCCTC